GAGCGCAGACACACGTGGATATACATCTGTCCATATACATTATACCCCCCGTGCACACGTGTAGCAGGTCCATAGGTAGGTGTGATGGTGGAGCTATACCTGCATTCATGTATAGATGCACCTATATGTGCACACACACACATATAAATCACACACAAGTGCACACACACATAAATCACACACCAGTACATACACACACACAAATCCCACGTGTGTACATCCACATACATCTACAGATTCAGCTCTACCCCTATCCCTATAGTTACACCAATCTATAGGTATCAGTACCCATTGATATATAGATCTATAGATGCACACATCTATCAAATCTACATATATATGTATACATCGCACCCATACGGGTGTGTATTTGTGTATATAGACACATATATATAGCCTGATGTATATATCCATATATGTGGATATATAGGTATGTGCATATCCCTGTAAATACACTGACGTAGCTACATATATATTTGTATTATAGACACGTGCACATGAAAATTACAAATAGATATATAAATAAATGTGTGTATATACAGATAGATGTGTATATACATATATATGTGCCAATATACCTACATCAATACCTAGCTATATAACTATATACTATATATATCAGTGTGTGTATATATAACTATATACCTATATATAGGTGTGTATATATATTTTATATATATACACATCTATATATAAAAACACAGGCCTATATATACATGGACATGTACATATGTATGATATAGATATCTATCAGGAGCACGCTGATCTTTGCCAAGACCTATATGTCTCTATGTCCATATATATACACATACACACACACGTTCCTATACATGCAGACACATAAATATAAAAATGATGAATTTATGTGAATCTGTGTACAAAACATAACTCTATGCATAGACATGTATGTATATGTGTGTGTGCTTATCCACTACATACATACATAGAGCTACAGTCACACAGTTCTATCCCTACCATAAACACATGCCGAGGGTGTGTGTGTATGTACACACAGCCATATACATACACCCCCCTTAGATATGGTGATTTAGCTGTGTCTTTACCTACAGACCCTTATCTATAGATCTATATAACTGCATACATGTTTGTATGCATATATAAACATATGTATGCTCATATACATGTATAAAATGACAAGGCTATCTATATAGATGTGTATCTGTGCATACACACATGTGTACTATATATGTGTAGCCATATCGATACACTTTTACCTATTTACACTTATGTAAAATATGAAAAAATGACAAATACATATATATGTGTCTGTGGATATATACATACAGAGATATATACACATAGATATGTAGAAATACAGATATCTACACCTGTATGTGTACATATATGCACATATATAAATTACAAATATCTATTTATGCATATGGACTAGATTATTTTAAAGGGCCCTTTCAGCCTAGACAATTCTGTGTGTGGATACATCTATGTCCACCCATATCTATACATCCATACCTACAGAAATATCTATGCTTATCTACCCATCACTGTGCCTAGATATACACACCCCCTATATATTTACTTATATGTGTACATAAGCGTATATACACTTAGGAACACACACATGTATTAGTCACAAATACATTGTGTATAAAAATACAGAGATATTTTATACACCTGCATAGATATAGCTGTACCTAAATACCTATACCTTTAGCTATATCTATATATCGATACCTATTTATGCTTAGATATATATGCACACACGGATCTAAAAACTACAATTCTATGCGTGTGTACACACACAGAGATATAAACATCTATGTATAGATGATATACGTATATGATATAGAGATATACATACAGATGTATGTAATTAGATATAGGTACATATATGTATGTGTATATGCAGCCATATAAAAATTAAGATATAGATCTACATGTCCACACACACACACACATGCACGCTTGTGTCTGCGTGTGCACAAGAGAGTGGGGGAGAGCTGGGGATGAACCCTGTGTGTGTGCATACATGTGTGTGTGTGTACATGTGTGTGTCTGTGCACGTGTGTATGTGTACATGTGCGTGTGTCTGTGCACATGTGTGTGCGTGCATGTGCATCTGCACACGTGTTTGTGTACATGTGCACGTGTCTGTAATACAAATACACATGTGTATGTATGTCTGCTTGTGTCTGTGCACGTGTGTCTGCACACGTGTGTGTGTACATGTGCACGTGTCTGTGCACACATGGGTATGTGCACGCGTGTGTCTGCACACGTGTATGTATGTCTGCTTGTGTCTGTGTGCACGTGTGTCTGCACACATGTTTGTGTACGTTTGCTTGTGTCTGTGCACATGTGCGTGTCTGTGCACACGTGTGTACGTGTGCTTGTGTCTGTGCACACATGGGTATGTGCACATGTGTCTGCACACGTGTGTGTGTACGTGTGCTTGTGTCTGTGCACACGTGTGTGTCTGCACACGTGTCTGCACACGTGTGTGTACGTGTGCTTGTGTCTGTGCACACGTGTGTGTCTGCACACGTGTTTGTGTACATCTGCTTGTGTCTGTGCACACGTGTGTGCACGTGTGTGTCTGCACACGTGTTTGTGCACGTGTGCTTGTGTCTGTGCACACGTGTGTGTGTGCATGTGTGTCTGCACACATGTTTGTGCACGTGTGCTTGTGTCTGTGCACACATAGGTATGTGCACACATGTGTCTGCACACATGTGTATGTATGTCTGCTTGTGTCTGTGCACACGTGTGTGTGCGCACATGTGTCTGCACACATGTTTGTGTACGTGTGCTTGTGTCTGTGCACGTGTGCGCGTGTCTGTGCACACATGTGTGTCTGCACACGTGTTTGTGTACGTGTGCTTGTGTCTGTGCACACGTGTGTGTGTCTGTGCACACGTGTGTACATGTGCTTGTGTCTGTGCACACGTGTGTGCGCGCAGGGGCAGTGACCACATCTAGGACCCCCCCGGGGCCACCCCATCC